TGACGCCAGGATCGACCCCTTGGAGTCTGTCCAGCGAGTTCAGACGAGGATGGCCTGTGCCCTGCCTAATAACGAAAAATTACTGAGCACAGCCCAAAAGCCTTCCTCAGTGCCTGCGATGATGCATCCCCCTGCAGCAGCGTCAGGCTCTTCCCAGCTGGACTGCATACACATACATTATACATGAACATAAAGTATTAATTACACTCACACGCCACAGGGCTGCCAAGTGTGCTTACAGATAATGGTTCTCCGGGAAGAAAGAGATCATACACATCCCCTAAAACGTCTGTTGATCTGGTTTCAGACATCAAAAATGCAAAATATTTTTGGCCCCAGTTTTTAAGACTTTATAGATTTAAATTAAATGATCAGTTTTTAAAATGTGTGCTGCTTGAACTAATAACATTTTGCCTTGAGAGAACTGTGTCTGATACTTTTATCTTTGCTAGCTTTGTCTGCAAACCTGGAAAAAAATGACATTGTGAATTAACAGATCACTCGAAGTACTTTATTTCCAATAACTGCAACCAAGGCCCTCCCGGGGAAAAAGCAAGCGATGGCAGTTTGCGCACACCCGGCAGTGGTACCGGGAAATTACTTCATCAGGCACGTTTGGGTGGAGGGGTTGATTGCAGCTCACGGCTCTGCAATACATCCCGCGGGAGAGGACACAGCAGATCGGGGCCCAACGTCCCTGCGCGGCACAGCAAGGGGCCCGTCACCCCGTCCCCCCATCACCCCCACGCACGGGAAGCTCCGTGGTCCGAGGTGCTCCCGAGGGGCCGCACGGCCCGGGCAGCCTGCCCTGCGGTAGCCAGGGGCAGGAAGAACCGAGCTGCCAACCCACAGCGATCCCGCATCGTCCCCGGGGAAGAGCCAGCCCCTGCCAAAAGACAGCGCAGGACAACTCCGAGATACCTGCACAGAAACGGGGTTTCAAGGAATGCAAAATTTAGATTGTTTTAGTAAAACGAAGCAAATCAAATGCACTTTGGGTGCCGTTTTATTAAAGGTGCTTTCAGCAATTTCCGTTAAGGAAACAGTCTACTAACTTTGAATGAAACAAAGAGATGCCCACTGAGGTCCTTCTGCGAAGTACCGAATCGGGTAGAAATCTAAATGGATCTATGAATGAAAAGGTAACACTTTATCAAATGATTATTTGTTTAAAATAATCAGAATATTGGGTAGTTGATCCCTATTAGTATGAATACAAAGACACAGCACAAGACAGGCAACACTTAAAGAGGAACAAAGAAACTGGAGAAAACAGAAAACATCTCACATTATTTCACTAATGGTTTGTTTTCCAGAAAAAACCCTAAGCATAATCTTCGTTAACAACGAAGGAAACATTGGTATTCACATCTCCCTTCATGGGATTAAATTCACGTTCACGAAATATGCATAACAGTTCGATGTTTGCAGCCTGTTGTTAAACAGAAATGTTGTAGAAATAGTACAAATTGAAGAAAGCATTTCACTGAAAAATATTATTTGGCGCATTTCTTCCTAGCATTAGGTACATCAAGAAAGCAGAAAGACAAGCAGCAGCTTGCAACTCACTGGAAGAGGGGCGGGTCTGCCGTCGGGCACGCCGGCCTCATGCTGTGCTGGCGGCGGGGCTGGGGTCCGGGACCGGGGTCCTCCTCCCCGGCCCGTGTCTGGCGGCAGGAC